TTATTCTTTGCTTTTTATTTTGTTGGATTTGCATGCTAGTATCCTAACACTTCATACCTTCACTTTCATTGGTTTACTGATTTTACTACTCTATGCATGGACATAAAATGCTAAAAAATTTGATCAAAATTGCTTTCATGCAATGGTGGGTGTGTGGAGTTATCAGGTATGTTGGGGTGGATGAAGCGGAGGATGTGCAGCTCTTCTACTACTTCATCAAGTCCCGCAGGAATCCTAAAGAGGACCCTCTCTTGCTTTGGCTAACTGGTGGCCCTGGCTGCTCATACTTGTGAAATTAAGAGCAGCGTCAAGAATCATATAGACCTTGGGATAAAAGGTTACCGCAGATTGATCTACAAGTGGTTTTTTCTTTATTCATATCACATACTATGACACTATACAGTTTGGTTGATATATTCTGTCCTTTTATTGATTGAGCAGTGGCGATCATGACATAGAGGTACCATTCTTGGGAACTCAAGCATGGATAAGATCCTTAAACTACTCTATTGTTGATGACTGGAATCCATGGCACTTTCAAGGTCAAGTCGCAGGGTATGTTCTTCAAATGAATATTAGTTTTGATCAATCTGCTGGTGTTCTGTAACTATTCTCTAGCCCTTAATTTTCCTGTAGGAAGAGCCTCTTAAATGAAGAAAATGAGTGATTTGGATGTTTGTGCGTGTAGATACACGAGGACTTACTCTAGTCGATTGACATTTGCGACTGTAAAGGTAAGGGATTCAGAATTTCTCCATTTTTGTTGCACTGATGATTCTAAGATGTATATTATTGGACTCAATTTCAAGCTCTCACTTTGTACTTCATTGTTTGGCTAATTTGTAGGGTGGAGGGCACACTGCTCCTGGATACAGGCCTGCAGAATGTTTTGTCATGTTTAAAAGGTGAATAGTTAAAGAACCTTTGTAACTAGGCTGCGACCAAACGCGCTGCCATTGTAGTGGCCAAGCTGAATTTTATAAACACAAGTCATGCTCTGGGTTCTGAAAAGAGGAGATGGTGTTGAGTCACCCAACGTGGAGAAAAACTGAGTGCAAGTATAGAGCTGAATCTCTTGTGTACTGTGAGCTCTGTGTGCAATTCCTGTTTTGTGAAATTCTTCTAACATCTTTACCCATGTTATTGTCGAACTGTTGAAAATATTAAGTGCACTTTTGGGATTGTTTTTCGCTTACAATTTTTCTATATGATCAATTGATATAGATTTGTTGATGTATAGGCTTTTCTGGTCCGTGGGATTTTCGGCAACAAGAGCACATGTTCTGAAGTTCATCAATGCCGGCATGCTTATCCGGAATTTAGGCCATAGTTTCTTAGCTAAGCAATCATTATTCTTCTTTCTTTTCTTGAAAACCAGTCATTATATTATTATGAAATCAATTCAAATGATGCTCATAGTTTTCAAAAGATTTGAGAATTTTTTTAATATTTTTTTATTGTTTTGATTTATTAATATTAAAAATAGAGAAATAAAAAAGATTATTTGATATATTTTTAAATAAAAAATTAAAAAAATATATCCACTCTGACAGTACCAAACAGAGCTACTATTTCTGTCTTACTTATTTTCTTATGAGTACTGTCAACAGAGCTACTATTTCTGTCTTCATATTTATTTTCTTACGAGTAAATAGAGTTGAGGACAACAAATTACGCAACCTCCATGGATTGCAATTGATATCGCCAGAGGACTTACTAACGCATGTAACTACGCAGTGTTATCCCATCTAATTTTTCAACAAGGGAGTTTGTACAAGAGTCTGATAAAAAATAATTTTTAAAGAGCTTTTTTTATTTAAAAAATCTATGAAATGATCTAAAAATATTAATTAAAACAATAGGTATCACAGTCACCACCACCGGTACTTAAAAGATAAAACACCTTTGTTAATATGATTACCCGTAAAATTAATCAAGACAGACACACATAAATTGATCTGGACATCTATGTTAATTATATAAAGAAAGAGATAGAACACTTCCAGAACACCTCCAAACATAATCACATCACTTCAACTCTTAAGATTTGTTCTAATTGAACTGTTTTACAAAATAAGTTGCAAATATGGATAACAAAACATAGAAGGGCATGGACTCTGGATCGAAACACTAGAAGGTTATACACATTCAGACAGGATAGCAAACCATTCAGCACAAAAGAGGTCCCATTTTGCAGAGATCCACTTACTTACCCATTTCACCTGGCAGAGTTCACCATCAAGCTCTCTAATTATACATTCATGGTAGCTTATAGCTAGTTAGCAAACCTGAAGCACATACTAGATAACAAAAACCTTAGTAGAACAGACTTACTAACTAAAAGAAACAAGAAAAGCATTAGAAGTAACATTTTCTGCTAAGCACTAATCACCCTCTGTAGCAATTTCGTCCATGATATTTGCCATAACCTCTTGAGATTCCCTCAGCAACTTGATACTTGTGTTCAGCTTCTGACGCTTGCTAGCCACAGATGGGGATTCCACAAACAGTTTTTCTATTGCAACACCACCACCAGTACCCAACAACTCATTAACAATCTCCTTTTCCATCTCCTTGTTCACCAAGTTTCGGATGCTGAGCTGGAGATGCAGAGCCATATTGTCAACCAACCTCATCAAGACAATCTTCCAGTAAGCAATCAGCCTCATCTTCAAGTCAAAAGCTTGAAGAAGAACATGTTTATAACGCCTAAGATCTCCCACTACAACCTCTCTCGAGCCATCAATCACCACCTTGGAAGATCCAAATTTCGTAATGTTGTCAATGACTGTATGCTGCTGTGCCATGAGCTTGTTCCATTCCTTCATATATTCTGGATTACATGTGTAATCCGTTTCCTTCTCCATCAGGACAATCTCTGTTACCCAATTAATGGACTGCTCTTTCATTTTAGCTACAAGGTTATGGCCTGCTCGTCGGGTAGATAACTGAATTTGGTGATAGCTCTCTTAGTGATGATTCAAAACCGAAATGACCACCTCTTCAATGTAAGTCCACACTTTTTCGACAAACTCTATTGGTAGTTTTGACATTCCTTCAACCTGTCGCTGCATGATGGTTCGGAAGGCAGTTTGAGGAAGGAAATTGGGCAACTTGATCCCTTTTGTTTCCTCCAAAACCTCAATCTCATTCATCATAAAGTTCTTTGTATGGTCAGAGCAGTTATGAAGTTCATTCGAGAATTGATCGAGCATTTCAACCAACCTAGCAGCGCAGTGCATATTTTTTTCATCTGGGTGTTCATCAGTTTCCCCTCTTACAAGGATTTTCCTCAAAGACTCCTTGGAAGATCCAATAATGCCCATGAAAGCTGCCATGACCTCAGCAACTGACAACAACCTCCTAGGTATCCTATTCAGCTCTGAAATACTCGCTTTCAACTTCTCATTAATCTTTCTGACGATATCGGGCAAACACTTGGCAATAATATTAGCCTGAATTCGCACCAGTTTTTTAGCCAAAACTTGAATACCTACTGTAGATTTTTCAATCTTGGACAAAAGTTGATGTGTCGCAAACAGTGCAGCTTCTTCCTTCCTTGCATCCTCATAAGACTCATTACCAATACGGTTTCTAACACACACATATCCAAGGCCTATAGTCACATCATTTCTAGTGACCTTCTCAAGTAACCCTTCAGGTGTTTTATCAACCTTTGTAACCACAGCAATAGTCCTCTCGCCGTTCTTGTCGACTTTCTGTGACATCATTATGGATTCACATGTGGAAAAATCGACGCTCGCAGACAAAACATTAAGGATAACACTCTCATCAGGACTAATATACTTCATTATAATATTTGCAATCTGCTCATAGACATTTTCAGGTTGACCATGAACGGGAACTCTTGTGATTCCAGGGAGATCAACAAGTGTAAGATCAGGAACACCATTCTTTTTCACCACAAGAGTTAATTCAGTGTTAGATATGCCCTTACCGTTGCCTGCAATCTCATCAGTGGCACGTTTGATAGCATCAGAAACGTGGGCCTCATCAGTAGGCACTGTTTGGTCATTGAACTGCAAGAAAATCTCTGGTACAAGAGATGGGTGATGTTTAAGCCTCACAATGAGAGGCACTCTAGTGCAAATGCCATCGCCACGAGGAAGATTGATACAAGCCAGAGATTCCAGAACACTGGATTTTCCTGAAGATTGATCGCCGACAACAACAATGGTTGGGAGCTGAATGCCTTCTTTCATGACATTGAGTTGCCTCAACCTGTCAACTGCATCAAGAAGAGGTCTGATACGATCGTTTGAAGATGACACAATAGGTAAACGATCATGAAAGACGGATTTATTTTTGTGTTTTTTAAAAATTAATTTTTTTATTTTAAAATTAATTTTTTATATTTCAGATCATTATAATATATTAATATTAAAAATAATCTTAAAAAATGAAAATTATCATTCCAATACATTTTTAAATAAAAAGTATTTTAAAAATTAATAGTTAATACGCTGCGTAGCCTCGGAATGATGGTCCACTTTCACGGGGAGCGGTGAAAGGACAAACCAACAGAAGAGTTGGCAGGGAATCAAACGTCTTGGAAAGCAAGCAAAAAATTGGACTCATCAGAAGGATCCTTGTATTTTACACGCCTTTCAATTTGGCACGTTTCCTCATTACACTTTGCAATCCCATCCCTGTCCCTCGGATTGGTTCTCCTTCAATTAATTTTGGATCCCTCGTTAGCCGCCGAAAGCATAGTTATATATTTGATATAAAAAATAAACAAAAAATATATATTTCAATTAATTTTTTTTAATTTTATTCATTAATTTTAGATGGATTGTTTGGTTGCTGGACCATTTTTACAAAATGGTCTCCATTTCTGCATGACGGTAAAGAATTTAAAATTTATATAATAGGTTTTGAGTTCGAATCAAAATATATGTTTTTTATAAGAGTTCGGACAACTACAAATTTTGGCTGGGAAAATTTTACAGACAGCAACATGCCAAGAAGACATGGTCGAGGTAAACCATGGCATTGACTAATGGAGAAAGCCAAAAGGATTTGCTGAGCATATGACATGAATTCAAGGTCCTAACCTTTTCCTTATAACTTGAGAATTTTTCCTTCTTATGCCGATATTCAATATTACTGTTTCTAAGAAAGGAATAAATCAGCAATGTTCTTGTTCTTAGGGAGAATCAGGTCACTGACTAACAGAGAAAGTGACAGCTTTTATCGCAAGGATTACCTTCATCAGAGGGGCAACATGTAGAAACCATCATAGGATGAGGAACATTACAGCGATTATCTTGTTATTGTTAGGATAAGTTGTGAAACAACAGAGATAAAAATTAGTGTCATTGCTTTAAGTCTATAGCGTACTGTTGATTGTTCATGGAGGGATGAAAATCTAACTATTTGTTTTCTCTGATTGAAGAAGCTACAAAATCTTGGTGTGCTTGTTTGTTAAAGAAGGGAACCATGTTATTTAATAAAAATAAATCTTGTTAACATTCATAGTCACAGTAGGTTCTACAAATGTTCTTATATGTTCATCACTGTGACTCAGAAATATGTTGCTTTTTGAGGAGACAACAAGAAAAAAAATCAGAAAAAGTGGTCTATATATGGCTGTCATCCCAACTTCTGAAGCCTGTGACTCCAATGTACCACTTTTGGCATCTGGTGACTTGCGAGTTCTGCCCTCTATTATCAAGATATATGGCCAGAGCCGGGCATTCTCAGGCCCCATTGCCACTCTTAAGGTGGTCGAGGACAACTTGTTGGTCAGGGAGCTTCTTGAAACCGAAGGTGAAGGAAGAGTTCTTGTTATTGATGGAGGGGGAAGCATTAGCGGTGCTTTGGTTGGAGGGAACCTGAGGAGAAAAATCAAAGTGAAGTGGTCGGTTGAAAAAAAGAAGAAAAAAGGTTTATGAATTGTCAGTTAATACATAATAATTTCATTCCTTCAAATTTTAAGCTTAAATCAGAGATAGAACAGAACAAGAGGTTGGATTAATTCCGTCTTCATTGAAAATGGTCGTTCCATGACTGCCATGAGCATATGAGTGTGTTCTACGCGCAGTACTCGGACGAATTTTGGCGCATAGAAACTGGCTTTTCAGAAAAACACACGAGAACAAAGATAAGGATCATATCAATATTGTAACACAAAAATTTATGGCACAAAGAATCTTCAAGGAAGACAGTCTTTTTATCTTTAGATACCATGTTTATTTCCTATTTTTATCAGTTTATTTGCTGTCTGAAGACAACGATGTATACACTGAGAGTAAGACTTTGAGAAAGTCTTCGACAACCATTATGTCCACTTGCATATGTAAATTGATGATTAGCCATGTGCAGTTTTTGTAGCTAGCTTTAGGCATTGACATTGCTTAAATAAACAGCTGGCTTGGGAGTTTAGTGTTTGCAATTTTCTGTAGCTTAATGGTTGACAAGAAAACTCAACGCTGGACAGGAAAAAATACAGGCTGAAGAAATTCATTTTCTCAGAATCTCAGCAGAAGATACCGAGATGTGTGATTGAGCTGGTAATTATGGGCTTCAGGCAAGTCTTGAATTCAATTCCCAGTGACACTAGAGGCGTATAATTTCATGTTCAGCCTGCCATTTCTAACCGAGAATTTTTATGACTTTGATGTGGCTAAGACTATTCCACCTATGGTGGGTTCCTTGATTTAAGAATAATTGAAGAGAATGATCTAATCATTGCGGATAAAGAAAATTAGTGGCTGTTTGAATAGACAAAGCTGGAGAGCAGAACGCATTTTGTATTCATTGAATGTGTTTTATAAAACCCATCTCAAGGTTAGTATGGTGTTTGCTTTTCTTTGAGAAATAAAAGTCTGATAACTGCTAGTGTCTTTGTAAATATATCTACTTGTTGATCCTTGGTAGAGATATATTAGACTTTATTTTTAATGTTACCATTTGGTAATGCTCTCTTTAACAAAATAAAAGTCAATTTCTATGTGCTTTGTCCTGGCTTTAAGAACTAGATTACAAGATAAGGATGTCAATTCGTTGACAAAGTTACCTCATTAGTGATCATAGCCAAAGATTTTAGAAGAGACATTAACAACAACCCTGTATTCTGCTTCAGTGGATGATCTAGACATTATTGGTTGTTTCTTAGCTGAACAGGAAATCAAGTTCTTACCTAAAAACCATGCATAACCTTATATACTTTGTTTGTCATCTTGTGTACCTGCCCGATCCGTATAAGGAAATGCTTGCAACTGTGTTGTTGTTGAAGAAGAAAAGAAAAGGCCTTTGAATTTGCACCTAATAAAGTAGACTGGCCTACTTTTTTGACAGGGACATCACTACCATCACCAACAATAACAGTATTAGTATCTTTATGATCCTTAGAGATATGTAGACTGGCAAGATCTGAAGTCATATCAGGAAACCAATCTGAGCCACCAATAGAGATGGTGAAGGTAGTCACGTTTGCGGTGGGTGAATCAAAATTGCTTTTATGCTTTCTTCTTCAACACTTGGCTGAATGATTCTTTCAACCATAGATTTGACAAGGATCCCCGGTGAATTTCGTAGAATTTCTGAAACCATTACTTTGCTAGTTGCTATTGTTATTATGATTCTTATTATTATTGGCAGTGAATTGAGCAACATTGGCAGTAGAAGCAGGTGACTAAATAGAGCTTTTCAACAAAATTTCATAAGCAATTAATTGATCTGATAACTCATGAAATGTGAAAATGAATGCAGTAATAGGATGATACTCATTTGGTGAGATTATTTAAGTATTTGCATTGAATTTTTCTGCATTGGACATTGGTAATCTTGAAGATGCAAGAGTATCAACAATTAACCCTGCTTTCCTTAAGAACTTAGTCATATTTTTGCCAGCTAATGTCAACTCCTTCAAGGCCAAATGGAATTGAAGTTGTTTCTTGCTTGAGACGGAACCAAAAGCATCATAAGTTGTCGTCATTCCAGTGATACATGAAAAAAAACTTCTTCTGTCAAAGAAGAAAAAAAAATCCAAGTTTATGATGCAATGTGGGCTGTGTTCTCTTGCATTAACGGAAGGAATTCCTAGCTCAAGAAACTTTCAAAACTCAACAAATAACTCCCTTATGCTATCCATTAGCAGAGGAAATATTGTAAGCAGAATATTTAAAAGCAACTTTGAAGGCTAAGCTGGTGTATTCAATTTTCAGAAGGGAATTCTCTCACCTGCACGCATTTTTCGAAATATTAATGCGGTTGGGAGAAGTTATAGAGAAATTGGTTAGTGGACTGGGAAATTAGGCTTCTCTGAGAGCATTGATGAAGCTACCAAGTGTAACAAGTCAATGAGACTTCTGGGACAAGCATTTTGGCCAGGAGGAAGCCCTTGGTCAGTCCCTAGAGGATGGGCAGTACCAACGTCAGCGGAGCCACTTAAGAGTGGAGTACCTGTAAGGAATTCACGTAAAGCTTAGTCGTGGCATGGTGTTAAAGGGTTTTCCATCAATGTCTTCAATGCTACACTGAAGGTCTTACCCTATTACTTGCCCCAGATTTTTGTTCCTTTCAATGGAACCTATGATTCTCTGTAGAACAAAGTCAAAATTCAGGCAAGCTCTCTTTTTGCTGCAGTTTCATAATAGAGCTAGATGATAAATAAAGTAGATTTGTTGTTTCTGAATTAGGAATAAAATTTACTTTCACCAGTTTTATGTGACTAGCTTTTTCGGAATACCAAGACTAAATTTCATTTTGAAATTGGAACAGAATTTTGATGCAGTGGTTGCTGATACGGCTATAGTGGCCAATCGATTCCAGTCTGTAGAGTTCTCGCAACCTTATGCGGATTCAGGCCTTCAAGTCTTGATTTACGCCATAACTAAAAGTATAAACAGAACTTGGTTGTTCACAAAGCCATTCACAACACCCATGTAGATCTCAATAGGGATAATCAATATCTATAATGGACTTGTTGTTTGGCTGATTGAAAGGCAGTCTGTGGAACCAAATTGGATTCATGCTCTCCTCTGCATTCATAACACTATTTTCATTAAACGGTAAAAACTTTTTCAAGCCTATATAGAGTTTCTGACTTGCTGAAAGGTGGACTAAGATATTTGTTTCACATAATTGCAGGTGGTAAATTGCGTAGCAATTTGTCTCGGATCGTGATTGTTGTGTGGCCTTTTCTTGCATTAGTTCTCACTCAAAGCTTCACCGCTAGTTTAACATCCATCTTGTTAGGAGATCCAAACATTCAAACACACACACGTTTACGTGGTTCGGCAACTTGCCTACTCCACGGAGCTACTGGTTTGTATTAATCAAGCTCAAAAGCAATACAAACAACAAAACAAGGAGGAGGAGAAAACTTCTCAACTCAACTCAACTCTCACCCTTAGCTCTCTCTCTGTGTTTCTCTCTATCTCGTAGTATATCTCAGCTATCAATACATCTTCTATTTATAGCTGAGGAGGGAGATGATTGTTCAACAATGGTGGGCAAGTTAGGCACCTACCATTTGACTATAATTTCAACCATGGCTGCCACCAACCATGGCTGCCACCAAACATGGCTGCCACCTACCATGGCTGCCACCGTCCATTTGTGTCCACACACATAACAATCTCCCACTTGGACACAAATGGTGTTAGGTCTGTCTTTTAATCTTCAAGACCCACTGAAGCTTTACACAGCTTCAGTTTATCGAGAGTAACTCCTTTGGTTAACATGTCGGCTGGATTCTTGCTTCCACAGATCTTTTCAAGTAACAGTTGTTCATCGTCGAGCAATTGCCTGATGAAGTGATATTTGATTTGTATGTGCTTTGTTCTGGAGTGAAATGCTGGATTCTTGGCAAGGAAGATTGCACTCTGACTGTCACTATACAAAGTACCTTTTCCATGCATCTTGCCCATTTCTTGCAGGAAACTCTGTAGCCATACTATCTCTTTTGCGGACTCTGAAACTGCAACATATTCAGCTTCTGTCGTTGAAAGAACAACTATCTTTTGCAAGGTAGAACTCCAAGAAACAGCAGTGCCTCCTAGAGTGTATATATAACCTGTAGTACTCTTTCTGCTATCAACATCTCCTGCTAGATCAGCATCTACAAAGCCTTCAAGTTTCAAACCGCCAGCTGTGAAAATAAGACATGTCTCCGATGAGCCTTTTAAGTACCTCATGATCCATTTCACTGCCTCCCAATGCTGCTTTCCAGGATTGCTCATATATCGGCTTACAACTCCCACTGCATGGGCAATATCTGGTCTAGTACAGACCATGGCATACATCAAGGAGCCGATAGCTGAGGCGTATGGGATCTGGTCCATGTATCCACGTTCTAGCTCAGTTTTTGGTGACTGGTCTTTACTGAGCTTGAAATGATTCCCCAGAGGTGTACATACTGGCTTAGCATTATCCATACTAAACCTGCTGAGAACCTTCTTGATATACTCTGCCTGTGAAAGCTTTAGTATGCCTTTGTCTTTGTCTCTGATGATTCTCATGCCAAGTATTTGTTTAGCAGCTCCCAGATCCTTCATTTCAAACTGTTTTGACAACTGTTGCTTTAGCTTGTCAATCTCTTCCATGCTGGAACCTGCAATTAACATATCATCCACATATAGCAGTAGAATGATATAGGAGTTGTCAAAATGTTTGACATAGCAACAATGATCAACCTGACATTTTGTGTATCCCGTACTACTCATGAAGTTATCAAACTTCTTGTACCACTGTCTTGGAGCTTGCTTCAAACCATATAGACTCTTCTTTAGTTTGCAAACTTGACTCTCCTTTCCTGGTATTGCAAACCCCTCTGGTTGTTGCATGTAAATGTCTTCCTCCAATTCTCCATGAAGAAATGCTGTTTTTACATCTAATTGTTCAAGATGTAAATTTTCTGCAGCTACTATCCCCAGAACAACTCTGATTGTTGTAAGCTTCACAACTGGAGAAAATATCTCAGAATAGTCGATCCCCTTCTTTTGCTGAAACCCTTTTACAACAAGTCTTGCCTTGAACCGTTTGCTTCCATCATGCTCGGTCTTTACTCTATAAACCCACTTGTTTTGCAGGGCCTTCTTTCCTTCAGGCAGTTTGGTTAACTCCCAAGTCTTGTTCTTCAGCAATGACTCCATCTCATCCTTCATGGCTAACTCCCACTTGCTCGAGTTTCCATCTTGTAAGGATTCTTCATAATTTAATGGTTCACCACCATCGGTCAGCAAGATATAATTCAGTAGAAGTGTGAACCGTTGTGGAGGCTTTATAGTCCTTGAAGACCTGCGAACAGCTGGTTCACTTGGCTCTGCACTATCTTGTGTAGAAGTGGTGGGTACTGAAGTGCTTGAACTATCTTGTGTGGACTCTTGAGTGGTAACATCAGGAAGCCCTTCTAATTGTATGAATTCAGATTTTTGTGGACTCGTATCTGAATCAGTTATCTCTAGTTCTGTACTTGATTTGTCTTTGTACAAAACTTTCTCGTTGAAGATCACGTTCCTGCTTCTGATAATCTTCCTGTTTTGATCATCCCAGAATCGAAATCCAAATTCTTCATCTCCATAGCCAATAAAGAAACATTTCTTTGATTTGGCATCCAGCTTGTTGCGAGCATCAGAGTCTACATGCACATAGGAAACACACCCAAAGACTTTTAGGTGAGCAAGCTGTACTTCTTTTCCTCTCCAGACTTCCTCGGGCAGTCTGAACTCCAAAGGTACTGATGGTCCACGGTTGATCAAGTAAACTGCAGTATGAACTGCATCAGCCCAGAATGTTTGAGGTAGCCCAGAATGCAACCTCATGCTTCTAGCTCGTTCATTGATGGTCCGGTTCATCCGTTCAGCAATACCATTCTGTTGTGGTGTGCCTGGAACTGTCTTTTCCATTCTGATACCGTTGACAGCGCAATACTCCTTGAAACCTCCATCAATGTATTCTCCTCCATTATCAGATCGTAAGCATTTCAGCTTCAAACCTGATTCAGTCTCAACCATAGCCTTCCATTTCTTGAATGTGTCAAACACATCAGATTTATTTTTCAGAAAGTAGACCCATACCTTTCTGCTAAAGTCATCAATAAAAGTGATATAGTACCGCGAACCGCCAAGAGATGCTACTGGAGCTGGTCCCCATAAATCTGTGTGCACCAGTTCTAGTTTTCTTGGTCTTAAGGTCCTGCCAACCTTTAAGAAACTGAGCTTCTTTTGTTTTCCGAGAACACAGCTTTCACAAATGTCTAGATCAACATTTTTTAACTCTGGCAGCTTTCCCTTTGACTGAAGTATCTTCATCCCCTTTTGACTCATATGGCCGAGTCTACAATGCCATAGCTGCGCTTGATTTTCTGCTTCAGTAGAGGCAATTATATCTGCTGATCTTGTGGTCATATACAGGGTGCTGGTTTTCTTTCCACGAGCCAAAACCATTGCTCCCTTTGATACCTTCCACATTCCTCCAGAGAAAAGGATTGAATGGCCACTATCATCAAGTTGTCCGACCGAGATCAACTTCTTCTTTAGTTCAGGAACATGCCTTACATTTTGCAAGTTCCATGTAGATCCATTCATTGTCTTAATTTGCACATCTCCTATACCCACAATCTCCAATGGTTGTCCATCGGCCAGATAGACTACCCCATAATTTCCAGCAGTGTAATTTTGCATCATTTCATGGTGTGGAGTACAGTGAAATGAAGCTCCAGAATCAAGAACCCAATCATCAATAGGACTATGTACAGCAAGGATCAAAGCATCTTGTACCTCGTTTGTAGTGGCATTTACAGAATCAGCTTCAGGTTTCTTTGGTTTTGTGCAACTCCTCATAAAATGGCCAGGTTTGCCACAATTCCAACATCCAACCTGCTTCCGGGGTCCAAACTTGCTTTTGCTTCTGTACCTGGATTTTGATCTGCCTCTGGATAAGCCTCTGTCTTGTCTCCTTCCTCGAGTGTTGATGTTGAAAGCTGAACCTGAACTTGAGCTTTCACCCGAGTCTTTTCTTCGTACTTCTTCAGCTAAAATCAGGTCTCGAATATCATCATACTTTAATTTGGATTTTCCAGCTGAGTTGCTTACGGCTGTTCTCATACCTTCCCAACTGCTTGGAAGTGAAGCTAGCAAAATAAGTGCTCGGATCTCATCATCAAACTCAATTTCAACGGATGACAATTGATTTGTGATGGTGTTGAAATTATTAAGATGCTGTGTAACAGAGGTGCTTTCTGTCATCTTCAGGTTGAACAGCTTCTTCATCAAGTGCACTTTGTTATTTGCTGATGGCTTCTCATACATCCCAGACAAGGCTTCCATCAATCTTGCTGTGGATTTCTCTTTTGTAACATTATGAGCAACTCTTCTTGACAATGATAGCCGGATAATGCCCAAGACTTGTCTATCAAGAATTTGCCAATCTTCTTCTGACATGTTTTCTGGCTTGCTCCCCAACAGAGGAAGATGAAGTTTCTTCCCATATAGATAATCTTCAATTTGCATTTTCCAATATCCAAAATCAGTTCCATCAAATTTTTCAATTCCTGCAGCCTTTATATCATCAGCCATTTTTACTCTTTCTCGGATTTGAATCTCAAAAATCTGACCTTACAGATGTGTCCGGAATGGCCCAAAATGCTGGAAACGACACTGAGATCACCTAAATCGGACTTCGGATGGCTCCGATTTAAACAATCAAAACTTGAGATAACTGGACGCTGCAGATGAAGCCACGTGGCAGGAGGCATAGTCTCTGCGCCACACCGGATCAAAACCCAGATATGCTGACGTGGCAGGATGACGTGTCACACACGTAGGCAATGTAGGGCCCACCTAATCTGACGTGGCAGATCCGCGGAGATTTTCGGCTGACGTGGCAGGGGATGACGTGGCTGGTTGACCGGTCAGACGGCTGACGTGGCAGGGGCGCGCGGCTGCTGACTGTGCTGGACGGCTGACGTGGCTGCTGATGTGGCAGTGCCGATTTGCAGGAATTGGCGAGGAAGACGCGTGACGCGCGTACGGCGCGTCTGTGCGCGTGGGCAGTCCTGGTGGTGGCGCGTGTAGGCGCGTGCGGGCATGCAGGACGTCGGGGTTTCGCCGGGTTTTCACCAGTGGATTCCTCTCGTCGTCCTCTTCACGGTGGTATGTTCAAAAACACATTTTGAGAACTTTGAGTTTTGAGTTTGGATCAAACACCCTCTTTTTCAAGAACTTTCAAGAACAAGCTCTGATACCAGTTGTTAGGAGATCCAAACATTCAAACACACACACGTTTACGTTGTTCGGCAACTTGCCTACTCCACGGAGCTACTGGTTTGTATTAATCAAGCTCAAAAGCAATACAAACAACAAAACAAGGAGGAGGAGAAAACTTCTCAACTCAACTCAACTCTCACCCTTAGCTCTCTCTCTGTGTTTCTCTCTATCTCGTAGTATATCTCAGCTATCAATACATCTTCTATTTATAGCTGAGGAGGGAGATGATTGTTCAACAATGGTGGGCAAGTTAGGCACCTACCATTTGACTATAATTTCAACCATGGCTGCCACCGTCCATTTGTGTCCACACACATAACACATCTTTGCTGCTCGAAGGATTGGTCCGGCAACTGTTGACGTGAGACACTACGGAAGACAGGAGCAAAGATTGGGTGTGATGGAGACTCCTTTGTGGTGGCAGATTTGAGAGATGTATTAAAGATTCACCCTGACAATATTGTAAGGATTGATTCAAGAGATGGTTATGCTCAAGCTCTTGTTACTGAAGAGATAGCAGCAGCATATCTTGATGTTCCTTGCATCGAAGTTTTCCTAGCTAAACATTGCAAGCGATTCACTAATTCAGGACCAACATTCAGAGTTGGTGGTTTTGGATTTGTGAGTATCGTTTCACCATTAACGTCTCATTGTTTCCATGTGTTTTCAATTCTACAGCGTTTTCAGTATTGTTAGAAGATTATTTGATCTTATGTTTAGAGGTTTTTTCAAGAAGTTCCCCGTATCTTCTTGACATTTCAGAAGCAGTTGTAGAGGTAGCAGAAAGTGGGGCATTAAAAGACCTAGATAATTCTTTGACCTCCTCGTACAAGTGCTTGGCCTCAGAATCCGATGGCCATACTGACAGACTACGACTTTCTAGCTTCCGGGGACTCCTTGGAATTACCGTTGGAACATCCACAATTGTTCTTCTGCTCTTTTGTACTTGTCCCCGCAAGAAAATAAGAATAGCCCCGGAAGAAGCAACAGCAGAAGAACCACCAGGACCAGCAGCATCAGCCACATGTAGAGCAGCCACAGCAGCAGCAACCTGATCCAGCTGCAACAGAATGATTGATCTGGACAACGTTAAGGAAACGCAGCAAGATCCAGCCACACATGAACAAGGCTCCTCCTTTTAGAAAATGGAAAATGCAGGCAAAAGAAAAGCCAAGGTTTTGGTGGATAAATTAAGATAAATTGCATCCATATTTCATCATCAATAGAAAAAAGAAATGCCTCACACTTGTAAGTATACCCTAATGTCCTGAATGAAAAGGGCATGCCACCAACGTCTCTTTTAACATGTAATGTCTGGAAAACCCCAGTTGTTAAGATTACTGAATTCTTCTTTAAAATACACAGGTCATAAGTTTCCAAGAAGGATTCATCTCAAGCCATTTTGTGATACACTTAAATCTGAATCATCTATCTTCTGTCCCAACACTCTTATTCTCAGCTCCAAAGCAAGGGAAGGGGCAGCAGCAGCAGGACCCAGATTCAAGATCTAGACTTCTTTCTCAGAGGGTTTGAGGGAAAATTAATGGCAAAGCCAGCAAAAACTGGAACTACTATTCCTATTGTCAGAAAAGTATTTAAGCATTTATGGTTCAAGTGCTCTCGTACGTGGAAATCCAACAATGCTGATAATTATTTTTTCATGTCTGATAAATTTTGATGTACACTTCAGAATGTATCCACGATCAAACCATCCATCAGTACACATACAATATTACACAACTTTTTACAAATTTTACTATATACAATTGGGAATATTCAGTTTTTCAGTAGTAATTTGAAAAATAAAAATTATTACAGCAAAGATGACAATGAAAAAGAAAAAAAATTCTGACATCAAAGTAAGTATCAAAAAACACTTCCCTGACAGCCCACCCTTCCTTCTTTCAGACCCATAAACCATCATACTTTGCCTTCCAACATGAATTATAGAAAGAATAAACAACATTTAATATGCAAAAGAATCATCATCACCAGCCATGGTAACCCTCCTCCTAAGCAGTTAAAGCAAGAAAAATAATATTTTTTTTCTTTTTTCTGATCAGCTACTTCTTCTTTTTTCTTTTTGTTTTTTGGGCTCTTTTAAATCACAGATGCACATGATTTTCTCTGCTAGGCATCCAATCATGCAAATCTTGAGTGGTCCCTGCAAGATGTGAACACTGCACGTGAATGCACAGCTTAGTTGGCAGCAGCACAGGGAGAGATCCAAATCTCGGCCCCAGCTCTTCAAAATGTTTGTGACTATCTTTTCCCAGTAAATTTTCCAAGCATGGTCAAGAGAGTAATGAACTCTACCTACCTTCGCTTTCAAACACCAAAATATTCCTATCCCACTTAATTAAGCATCCAAGAAAAATTTTTGGATGCTTAAGATGCTCCAAAATTTTCTTCATTGTTTTGTAGGGATTAGTCAGATAATGAAATCATGTCACTTTGTACCATTTCCCTGTTGTCACATGATAAAGAGGATTTACTTTTCACTATTAACATTCTTGAAACAATCACTGGAGAGGAGCTAAACTCGAAGAAGCTGCCGTTATTTTTCGTTAGTAGGAGTTGTGGGGTCATTTGTTCTGGTTGATGCTGCTATTCGTTTTATCCATCTTGAGGTTTTGTTGCTGATAAACTTGCCTCAGTCTCTCTATTTCCTTCCTCAATGCTTCTTGATGAGCTGCATTTGTTCCAAATCAATTAGCTAGTCTGGCCAATCCAGTATTAAACATATATTGCGACCATCAAGCTTTGAGTACTCAAAATTTGAAACATTCAATGCATTTGAGCACTGCAAGCAAGAAACATTATTGCATATGCAAGGTTAGTGGAGACCAAACCAGTCACATTATAGAAAATCACCGCGAGAACTCATGATTGTAGCCGGATCTATTACAATTTGGGTTCACTTAAATGGGATTTTTCATTTCCTTTCTGAAAATGCACTACCTTATTAACCCATGTGGGATTAATACCAGTGGATTAAGAAATGTATATATAGCAGTTAAGGACTTAAAATTGGCTTGGCTGTCCCTTATGAATTAAGTCTCTCCACCCTCCAGAACAGCCATTCAACCAAACATTTATCTTGTAAAATAAATGAACTGGGCAACCTACCACGAGATGCATTTTATTCAAGGCTAGCTAGCTATATACCTGTGCCCAGATTAACAATCAGTGGATATATCAAGTACTGAGAGAATTTCTATATATATACTATACGAATTTGTCCTCACTATAATAACATGATGATGATGAAAATTACATCTTATTTAATGTGTAGCTGTCGCATTTAGTTACCATTTCAATTTTGGTCCCCCCAGAGAAAATTGAGCAAAACTTATTAAAAAACTATAAATCCCACTTTTGAAATCTTAAGAATTGATCATATATTATATTTTGATTCCTTAATACTATATAGAACAAAAGGGGATCGATTCACATGCTATGTATTAAATATGGAGTTGTAAAATATTTGTGAACATGCACTAACAGTTGCTTTAATTATGAAATGGATTCTAGCTCACTCAAGATAGCTAGCTGATCGCTACAATTAACCTATGTACTTAGGACTGAAACTATTGTTAGAGTATTTTGTATCCTGATCAAGATGAGATTAAGGATAAGTAAGAGATTAATTACCATCTTTGAAAATCTTATCTTGAGACAGTGCAGCGATTCTTTGCTTAAGAGCACTGTTGTCAACATTTAGAAGCAACCTTTGATGGTCTAGATATGCAACCCTTGGTGATAACACAGAAACTTCAGCCTTCATTGAGCACAGAATTCAAACCATACAGAATAATTAGCTAAATAATTATGAAGAGTTGTAAGAGACAATTCAAGGGATCATTGAAAACTACATACTTGCAATGATGTTACACTACGTTCAAGCTCAGATATGTACTGCAGTTTCCTCACTCGTGATCTTTGAGCAGATTGTCTGTTTGCCAAGATTCTGATAAAGTGAAAAAATAATAATTAAATTGTGTAATCACTCAAATTAAGTTAATTACTAGAGCATGATTTCTCATAAAGGCTGTAAATTAACAATATTATTGTCTAGTATATATACACGACGTATATAACTCTAGGAGCACTGATTTTTTGCTTTCTCTAAAACTATCTAGTGGCCGAAAATAATTTCTTCTCAAGCTAATCCTTGAGTCCTTCCTATCCTAATTTAGAACTTTTGAGATGACCTTTTCTTTTCATGTTAAAGATACCTAAATTAACTGACACGGACATGAATGCAACAAGATTGCATGTTAGTAGTAATATTTATGGCTTGGGATTCTTTCAATGGATCAACCAACTAAAAAGTAAACTTAAAATACACAAAATTATCATAGAAATGCATTAAATTGCAGATCAGAAGGTGGGTTTGAACAATTCACGTTTGCTAACTTAATTAATAATTAAAAAAAATACAGAATATCGTTGTCTTCCGAAAATGAAAAAAATCACCTTTTGTTATTATGTGTATGCTTACCTCTTAACTCTCTTGGGATCGATTTTCTTTTCATTAGAAGTGGTAGCAGGATTGGTTGCGCTTGCGACGGTACTTGGTGTCTCCCATTCAGATAGACTTTGCCCTTCATCATTCTCATTCCTCACTTTCTGCTGTTGCTGTCGTTCAGACAGCGTAGCTTCTTTCTCGTCATTAATGCTGTTATGATCAGACGGCGAAGAAGGTGTGGAGCTTGAATTAGGAGCTGCCACAGCATTTGAGATATCATCGTTAAACATGGACATAAACTGTTCATCATCAAATCTGTCAAAGTCACTGCTACTGTTATGTCGTGACCCTAATCCCGGTGCACCCGTGGAACGACATTCCTCTAGCATTGTCGGTGCTTCTTCTAGGAATGCAATGGAGTCACTCACCGACCTCCGGTGCGTCCCACGTCTCGTCAACGAGAAGTCGAGGAATTCATCAACCCACGAAGGGTTTTGCGATGAGACGGTAGCGGTGGTGTTAGCGGTAGCGGTAGGAATGACCACATTAGCATCGTGGGGTGGCGATGTCCCCATAATACAAATGGAAGGTGACTTCTTATGAGAGAAATCAGGCCAACTCGGTGTCATATTGTTTGGTATTTTCGGAGGTAATTGTGCCATTTGGTATTGTAATATGTAATCACAACAGCAATATGACGAACAATCCAAAATGACACAATTCAGAGAAGAAGAAGAAGAAGAAGAAAAACCAGATGACAAAGAAAGATCAAGAGAAACTTCAAAAACAATCTCTTACAAACTGACATATACATACACGTATATATATGTTTATATAAAAACCATCCGCCAGCAATTTTCAACAAGTTGTTGCTGTTGATGATGATGATGATTAACAAGACTATAAAATTAAACAGAACAATGTGATGCTGGAGAGAGGGCAAGGAAAAGGGGGGAAGAAAGACAGAAGAAGAAGAACACCATCATTAAAAGGCCAATCCTTTGATCTCATGTCTTCCCATGAAAGTATATATTATTAGAAAGAAAACTTATTTCTCTCTGCGGGAGAGGGGCATGCAGTGGGGTCACATGGGGGGAGGATCGGACAACTATCAACAGCTGTGAGGAGGTTGTGTTTGTGTTGTGTCTCAACGGTATTACTTAAAAGTCGCTAGTTGTTTAATAAGTAGCGGAATCAGTGACCACGTGCGTGCCCTAAGTGACCCGCCCTCGGAAGGGTACCTTACCCTTACAATAATAGTCTCATTATTTTAAAATCATTTTAAAAAAGAGAAAATTACCATTTACCCTTTCTCTACATCTCGATTTCCCACCCTACCCCCCCTGAAGATAAACAACTCCAATCAATGGCTCATTCATTTTCTGGGTATCTTTTTTTGACAAATGACAAAAAAGCAACCCAGGCATTGCCTAGAAGTTCAAAGCCAATGTAAATAATATGTAAAATTATAGTTTGATTTAAAAAATATCTCTATATTTTTTTTTTATATTAAAATAAAAATATATTAGATTGATTTATTTTCTTCTCAAACTGTAATTTGGATTATAAATTTCATTTGGTTTAATAATATTTTTTTTATTTAATTACTTGATAAAAAAATATGAAGGTCAATTTAAAATAAAATATATATTAAAATATAAAATCAAAAAAATAAAAACCAATAAAAAAATTCAACAAAAACTCAATATTAAAAAATTAATTAAACTAACAAAAAAAACTTATCAAGTTAGTTGGGCAAGCATGGTGCCCTAACAAGTTTATAATCAAAAATAAAAAAGCCTAACAAGTTTATAATCGAAAATAAAAAAAGTCAAAGCATGAGGCTATATTTTTTCATATAAAAAAATAGATAACACATCTTTTGTTAGGCAGTAGTTTAGAATTCAACTATGATAGTCGAAAATTTAAAATGAGGCTTTTTAAATTAAAAATTTATTTTTAATTATTTTCACCCAAAAAACATAGTAAACATTATAAAAATCTTCTTAAACCATATACTAATCTTAAAACAATTCAAAAACAAAAAAACAAAAAAAAATTCATTCAAATAAAAAAAATATAAGCAAAACATGATTAACATTTCAAACATATTTATAGGAACAACTCCCTACCATTAAACTCCTCTCATTTATGTTAAAAAACGACTCACTATTATCAAGCGATTTTATTTTTTTTTCCTAACTCAAGGATTTATATAAATTTAAAAAAATGAGTTTTGGATCAAAATTAAAATTATAAAAACTATAAAGACCATGAAGAAGGAAAAAATAAAGGATGAAGATGATAAAAACTCTCCTGAATTTTAGTTTGGCCATGGGTTTTCTTTTTATTCTACACTTTGATTATCTATTGTTGATTTTTTTTTTCTCTTAAAATTCTTGACAAATTTGTCATGAAATTAGGCACATAAAGCTGGAATTAAATAATAAAAATTAAGGAAAAAAATGAAAAAAAAAGTATTGCGGATTGCTACTAGTTTTATTTTGTATTTGAAATTTTAAAATAAAATAATTATAAGAATAATAATTTTAATTAGTAATCAAAGGCTTTCTTTCAGAAATCAAATTACCAATTACCAAAACCGCTGTTCTTGGGCTCGTCTTCTCTTCCCTGTCAAGATAGGAGCTTCGACGATTCTTTGATGTTCTTATAGATCATTCCTTGTTTAATTTAATTCTAATTGAAAGGATAATTCTATTTATGTCACGAATTTTATTTTTTTTAATTTTTCTTGCTACTTAGAGTGCCTCTGGTTAATCCAATGGTATCCTTATACTTAATTAGGAGCAAAAATAGGATTTTAGAATCAATAGGGCGTTGGCTTTTCATGAAATAAACTTGAATACCAGAAGGATTTTTTAAAATATTATTAATTTTGTAGAACTAGAATATATGTTAAATTAAGTGAGAATTGACTTCATCAAACTTAGTTAGCCTAATAAATCAACTCGTAATTTAATCAACTCGATTAAAATTGAGATAAAAATTGATTTTATTTTTTAAAAAAAATATTTTAAAATAATATTATTTTAACTATTCTTTTATTAAAAAAATCTTGAAACAATGGTATCACTCAATCAGTAATACTAGCCTTGAATGAGGTTATGAACAAATACTGGCAGGGGGGCAATGTGGTACTTCAATTAGAAAAAAAAAAAAGGAAGAAAAAAAAAAAAGAGGACCATCAAGATCCGTACGAATTTATTGTGCCTCAGGAAGATGGGAGGAACTTGCGTGTGAATCGCCTGTAATTTGTATGGATGATGGCAACATTTGATGGGCCAAAAAAAAAAAACATATGGGAGCAAATCCCTTAATGTTCTATATGTGTATGGCAGCATTTTTCAAGTGGCTTTGCAATGCTTTTTAAAGATAAAGTATTTATATTCATATGAGAAATTTAATAATTGTTTTTTAAAATACTAGCTTATTTAAATTTAGAAAATCCAAAAAGTAAGTAAATATTTATTAACCATTATATCAACCACTTAAAATTAATGAAATTAATGTTTTTTTTAATATTTATTTACCATATAGTTTTCTTTCAAACATCACTGTTTGCAGATGGGGGTCTTATTATATATATATATATATATAGACACACACACACTACAAGGAAAAAAAAAAAAGATTAGCCATTGTAGTAACTACTAGTCACCTCACCTACGATTCATTAATTTGTAATGATAAAAAAAAGGTGATGTTATTTTTTTTTTAACATCTAACAATATTTGAAGTGTGAAATAAAAATTTAACGCATGTATTTAATAAAATAAATCAATGATTTTATGTAGGTTAACATATTTGTTCTTGTATCTTGTAGAGATATTTAATTTTTTTCATTTAATTAGATGTAAATATTTTTTAACCAAAATAATAATTTATACTATGCTAAAACAAAATTTCATGATTCAAAACGAGAAATGAGAAGAAAAAAATTATATTTCTCCGATGTAAACTCCATTTCTTATTGATCCATCTCTCACTTGTTTTAACAAAAACATATTTTTAAAATTATAAGCACTATTTTCTAAACAAAAATCCATCATGGTATTAAAAATAAATAAAATAATTTTTTTTGTAATTTTTATATGATTGAAGAAAAAACATAAATCATAAATGTGATAAAATTACAACAAAAATATATTAAAAAATTTTGAAAATGTAATTTTTATTTAATATAATATTCATGCATTTCTTTTCATATAATAATTGAAAAAAAATGTTAAGTTTTTTATAGTGTATTTAAATTTAAATCCAAAAAAATGAAAAAAATACAAAGGGTAACAGTAGATAATGTGCCATTTGTGGTTTATCTACCGTTAACTCAGTTGGCTAGAAAGTCAAGTTTCTAACTTCTTGGTCCAAAAAAATTCATTTTTCAACCAATATTTTGCCTTAAAATACCTTAAATACCTTAATAATAATCAATGGAGATATGCTTTGTTTATGAGTGAAAAAAGGATTAGTTGTGAAATACGATGTATTGATATTGTCATCCCAAAGAGTTGAAATTTGAGGCAGCTTCAGACTAAGTTCACTTGGGAGTGACTGGACTAGAATTTAATTGGCAATGGTATTGATAATGGCTCGTATTATGCTTTAGTGCTTGGATGGGAGAAAGTCTTTTACTTATGAAAGTTCTATGAAATAAGATATAATTAAAGAAAATAGTAACTGATGATGGAGTTGTGATCATTAGGACAATTGGCCAAGTAGAAGTCTAAGAAAGTTTAAAGATGACGAGACGTATACTATTGAAGAAGAAAGCTATGATGAGGAGTGGGTTAAAAGATACCTAAGAATTCTCTTGACAACACTCTAGTGAGAATTAGTTGAGTCATACATGAATTGACATACTTTGTTTATTGTAAAAGAAAAATATGGCTTGGTAAAGCTTAGGCATTGGAGAGAACCAATTATGCTTCTGTATATTCAAGAATCAGAAAAGGGGTCACTATGATTTTTAGAGAGATTGGTGGTAAATACCATGAAAGATGAGATGGGCTTTGCATTTTCTTTTTAAAGAAGTTCTCGTATATAACTTTGTTGGGATATATATAACCTATTTGAGGTGAAACAAGCTTTTACTCTAAGAAAATAATGCAATGGCCCAAGGTTTTTTAGTGCAAAGACGAGATGACGAGTATTAATAAGTTGGGTAATGAATATTTGATTTGTCTAGTTATAATAATATCATCAACATATATAAGGATATAAACTCAAATCGACCAATGGTTATAAATAAATAATGAAGTATCATATTTGGAGCCTATAAAGCCTATTTCAAAAAATTTAGAGCTAAATTAAGAGTATTATGCTCTTGAGGATTACTTCAGGCTATAAAAGGATTTCTTTAAGTGATAAACATGGTTAGGTGAAGATAAATGTTTAAACCCTGAAGATTAAGTTATGAAGATGTCTTCTTCAATAATGCTAGGTAGTAAGGCATTATTAACATCTAATTGATGAATAATTTAATTTGATAAAATAGCAATATAAATAATGAGAGCAATTGTAAGAGGCTGCTTGACAACTAGGCTATAAGTTTCACCACAACCAAGGATATCTTGTTAGTGGTATCCTTTAACCACAAGACGAGCCTCTATCTTTCAGGAGATCTATTTACTTGGTGTTTTCTTTTCAATACCTATTTGTAACTAACTATATTCAGCTTAGAAATTGGAGGGATTATAGTCAATGTGCTATTTATATAAGAGTTATTAATTCATCATTAGTGGCATAACGCCATTCTAAGAATTTGACTCCACTGCTAAAAGTTTTCTTTTTAAGTTTTGAAATTATAAGAGTTAGTGTTGTGGTGAGAAGTATAATAGGTTGACAAGCTATAATACCATCCACAAATCTTTTTATGCTTAAAAACATGACAATTTAAGACACTTGAGAATGCATTGGATTTGGAGTAGAAACTATAGTTGGTTTTGAAGAAGGTATGATAATGACCATTTAAGGGTCTTTAGAATTTATCGATAAAGGTTTTGATTGTAGAAATTGAACTGTTCGTCCAAAAACAACACTAATAGAAATCAAATAGTGGAAGGGTTTAAACACTTATAACCTTTGTGTTTGTTCTATA